CCAGCGTGAGTTTTAAGCCACCGGGTCTGGGATGTGAACCGCGGTCGACTACATGGGAGTCCAGCGACATAGCCATTACGCTAACTGCTGGTCCCTGGATCTATAATTTTCTATAGCAACTATTTATTTTTCATTTTGAGTCTGTTCTAGACATAGGTTAAATTTAAAGCCATGGTTGGTAGTCTTTTATGCATAGTATCATAACTAATTCCAACTGTTTCTTGACTCAGAACATATTGTATATTTTACATTTATGGAGAAAATGGGGTTTTATCTCTTTAGTTTTTCAGTGAAAAGAACTGAAAAATATATAAAAGAAGTGAGGGAAAGATCAGAACCTTCAAGGATGACCTGTATATGGAATCATCACAACCATGTATTCCTCCTTGTTCTGTTATCACTCCCAAAGGACTGTTACCCACAGGAGTTCTTGCTGCCCAAGTGGCAGCTATTCTGGAGGTCCCTCCTACCCTCTCCTTTGTTTTATTACTCCCTTCTGAGGACTTGCCTCACTCTGAGAAGGACTTTTCCCTGGATCCTTGAGGAGCCACTAGAACTTGTCTTGTCCCCACCTTTCTTCCTCTATCCTCTGCCTTCTCTCCTCGGGCACACTGCAGGAACTCATCTGGAGGGAGGACATCGGGCTATGGTGCTTGGATTGCAGTTAAAACTGCTGTTATAACTAAACTCAAGCTCCTTATGTTGTAGAAACCCTTTACTTCTTTGCTTTAATTCTATGATAGTGCGAATACAGTGGGTTAAATGCCTTTTGTTGGGTTGTCTGGGAATCTATCCTTTATCAAATAGATTAAATAGAGTTTATTTTCTGGTAGCTTAGTCTCATTCCCTCCTGCTCTAGAAATATCCTTGAAGGGGACCAGCAGATGGTGTAATGGTTATGTCGCTGGACTCCCATGTAGTTGACCAGGATTTGAGTCCCCGACCCGGTGGCTTAAAACTCAAGCTGAGCACATGTGTTTGTGCTCCCACCCAGAATCCCGAGAGGAGAATGGAGGAAAAGGAATTGTGGTGTGGCCATCACCCAAGGGGTGATTTCTTGCTTTCTGTCTCTCTTTCTCCCCAGCGAGTGCATGTGCCCTACAGCAAAAAACCTCTCTCTTAAAAAAAGGAAATATCATGGAAGGAAAATGCACATAGCCCATGGATAACTTAAAACCTAATTAGGTGGATTCTTTTTTTTTCTGGGAGAGGTTTTTTCTATAGGGCACGTGCGCTCGCCAGACAGACAGAGAGAGACATAGAGACAGAAAGCGAGAAATCACCCCCCAGGGGGGATGGCCATGCCACAATCCCTTCTCCTCCATTATCTTCTCGGGATCCTGGGCACGCATGCACACACGCCCGGCGTGAGTTTTAAGCCACCAGGTCTAGGACGTGAACTGCGGTCGACTACATGGGAGTCCAGAGACACAGCCATTACGCTAACTGCTGGTTCCCTAGGCGGATTCTTTAAGATCAGTGTCAATTTAACTTATCTTTCAATTCCAAACACCATATAATGGATTTTCCCTCCCCACCAGGCTGATTTGAACACCAACTTTTCTGATATTTACCACTCTAATGAAGAGTATTTCAGGAAACTAGAAGAGCTGAAGGCTGCCCATATAGAAACTATGGCAAAATTAGAGAAAATGTACCAGAATAAATTAAATTTAAAGGAAGTTCAGCCAGTGGTCATCAGGGAAGACTCTCCTAGTGTTTCTTCCAGGTAAGTTTGTACCTAGTGTCATTTGTGGACTGTAAAATAAAATGTATACTTTAAAAGGCAGACTAAGACCAGCAGGAGGCATAGTGGTTGAGGCTCTGGACTTCCACATGGTTGACTGCAGTTCAAGTTCTGGACCCAGCAGTTTGAAATTAACTCTGGGCATGTATATGTATGTGCCCAAAATCCCAAGAGGAGAATGGAGAAGGGATTGCAATGTGGCTATCTCTCCCGGGGGTGGTTTCTCACTCTCTCTCTCTGTCTCTCTCTGTCACTCCAGTGAGCACATATGCTCTATAGCAAAATCTCTCTTTAAAAAAATCAAATAAAATAAAAAAGAAGAATAAAATTATTTCAGGATATTTTCTCAAATATCCTTTTACATTCTTCTTTTTTCTTAATCTTTTTTTTTTTATTTTTTTTGGAGAGGTTTTTGCTATAGGGCGCGTGCACTTGCCAAACAGACAGACAGAGACAGATAGAAAGCGAGAAATCACCCCCCGGGGGGATGGTCACACCGCAATCCCTTCTCCTCCGTTCTCCTCTTGGGATCTTGGGCACACACGCACACGCGCCCAGCGTGAGTTTTAAGCCACCGGGTCTGGGATGTGAACCGCGGTCGACTACATGGGAGTCCAGCGACATAGCCATTACGCTAACTGCTGGTCCCTGGATCTATAATTTTCTATAGCAACTATTTATTTTTCATTTTGAGTCTGTTCTAGACATAGGTTAAATTTAAAGCCATGGTTGGTAGTCTTTTATGCATAGTATCATAACTAATTCCAACTGTTTCTTGACTCAGAACATATTGTATATTTTATATTTATGAAGGGCACATGCGCTCACCAGCCAGACAGAGAGAGATAGAGAGTCAGAAAGTGAGAAATCACCCCCCAGGGGGGATGGTCACGCCGCAATCCCTTCTCCTCCATTCTCCTCTCGGGATTTTGGGCACACACGCACACACACCCGGCGTGAGTTCTGAACCACCAGGTCCAGGACGTGAACTGCGGTCGACTGTGGGAGTCCAGTAACATAGCCATTATGCCAACTGCTGGTTCCCAATGCTCGAGGTTTTGGATTACTAATGTAGTACATTAGTGGCTGGTTACAGGTGGGATTTTATTCAATAGGTTTAATGAATGGCCTGTCAACTTTCTAAGTGACTTCTTGCTGTGAAGGTCAGTTGGTGGCTACTCATCTTTTTCTCTTTGACCCACCACTTATAGAATTGTAAACCTGTATCAAAATACTGAATCTGGGGTGGCTCCATGGCCTAGAGGTTAAGGGAGCTGGATTCCATGTGGCCAACCACACAGTTCAAATCCCAGCTCTGTCAGTTTGAAAACATGTCAGGTATGGGACCAGCAGTTAGCATAATGGCTATGTTTCTGGACTCCCATGTAGTCAACCGTGGTTCAAGTCCCGGACCTGGTGACTTAAACTCATGCCGGATGCATGTGCTTGCATGCCCAAGATCCCAAGAGGAGAATGGAGGAGAAGGGATTGCAGTGTGACCATCCCCCCTGGGGGATGATTTCTCGCTTTCTGTCTCTCTGTCTCTCTCTGTCTTTCTGCTCAGCGCACGCATCCTATAGCAAAAACCTCTCCAAAAAAAAAAACATGTCAGGCACATGTGTGTGTGCCCCAAATCCAACAGCATAGAAAGATGGAGGAAAAGGGATTGTGACATGACCATGCCCTATTAGGGGAATACATTCACCCTTTCTCCTTGACTCATTGTCTCTCTGATAAGTGCACATACCTCTGACAAAAAAAAAAAAAAAAAAAATTAATTACTGAGTCTGGGGACCAGCATATGGAGTAATGGTTATGTCCCTGGACTCCCACATAGTTGACCGTGGTTTGAGTCCCAGACCCAGTGGCTTAAAACTCATGCTGGAAGTGTGTGCATATATGTCCAAGATCCTGAGAGGAGGGTGGAGGAGAAGGGATTGTGGCTTGGCTAGTCACCTCAGGGGATGATTTCTTGCTTTCTGTCTCTCTGTCTCTGTCTGTCTCTTTGGCAAGTGCACACCTTATAACAAAAAATCTCTCTCTCTAAAAAAAATATTGAGTCTGGGGCTAGCAGATGGATGGCATCACAGTTATGTCACTGGACTCCCACATGGCCGACCACGGTTCAAGTCCTGGACCTGGTGGCTTAAAACTTACCGCAGGCATGTATGTGTGCATGCCTAAGATCTGGAGAGAAGAGACTGCAGTGTGGCCATCCTCCCTGAGGGATGATTTTAAACTTTTCTCTCTCACCCTGTCTGTCTCTCTCTTTCTTCAGTGAGCACATATGTCCTAAGGCAAAAATCTCTCTTCCCCCGCCCCCCCAAAAAAGAAAACATACTGAGTCTGGGCCATTTTAAATAATCAGTATTAAAATTTAACTTGGCGACCAGCAGGTGGTATGGTAGTTAAGGGGCTGGATTCCCACATGGCTGATAGCGATTCAAGTCCTGAACCTGGCAACTTGAAAGTCATGCTGGATGTGTGTGTGTGCCCAAAATCCCAAGAGAAGAATGAAGCAGAAGGGATTATTGTCTGGCTATCCCCTCAGGGGGTGATTTCTCACTTTCCCTCTCTCTGTCTCTGGAGAGTTCATGCACCCTATAGCAAAACTTTAAAAAAAAAATCCTTTATATTATGTAGATTAATATGAATTAACTTATGGTAACCATTTTCCCGTATATGTATTCTGTATTAAGACCATGTGTATCTCAAATGTGCACAGTAAAATTTATTTTAAATCTCCCAACCCAGAAAAAAAGAATAAACTCATGAGCTCATTAAAGATCTAGTACGGGGGTGCTGGCTGGTGGTGTGGTGGTTGAGGGTGCTGGATTCC